AAGGCTGGCTTCAAAACAAAACGCAATAGTATATAATGTACCAAATAGTGAGCCCATAAAGTCAGTCCAGCACTCATTGCTGAAGGCTGCAAATCTATTGAATGCACCTTGTCAGTGCATTCGCCTAAGCAAAAAAGACCTGAAGTATCCTTGTCCTATACTCTTTAGGTTCGACAGCTACATAACAGCTGAACGATTTAAGATGGCCGAAGATCTTCTGGCTACTGCCACTAAATTCAAGACTATCAAAGTAGTCTCGGATAAAACACCAAACCAAAGGCAAGCAACCAAGAACTCCTTCGACACAAAGTTGACAACACTGAGAAATACATCTGGTATCAGTGCTAAAGAGTCGACGGACACTGAGGCACAGCAAGTCACGTGTATAGTGTTAGGAGAAAAAACGGCAAGTAAGAGAGACCCAAAACTCAGTAAGAGCAGTGCCACTGGGTGCAGTCTTAGAGTGCACGAGAGCACATCTCGAAAACCTGCTGACCTACATGAGGTTGACATAGACGCACAAACTATGGCTGACAAGAAACTACTGGCAGACCACACTCAATCTGGATCCAAGCCAGAGAGTCCCTCAGTAGAAACCGCAAAAAAGACCACAAAACCCAGAGTCCCACCCCAGACTTCGACATACCTCCCTCGTAATAAGTCAAATAAGCAGCGTGTCAGTCTAAAAAATGACAAAGCATGGGTAACGAAGCACATTCCCAAAGACGTCACGCAGCATATGAGAAGGAATACCCCTTCCCGGACTAGAAGTAACATGCCTAACAACGCACATAACTTGGGAATGCAACGTAGAATGGATCCTCGGGATACATGGGGCACTAAACGGGACTCATATAGGCACCATATTAACGAAAATTCTCGTCCAGACTCCCGCACTATATATGTTAAACCTCATCAACATAATGAGAACAGGTCGACACTTGATCCCCTCAATAACTTCACTCACGCACGTGACGTGAGCCAATATGCATACGGCTATGAAAGCCCCATGAGGTACAACTACCAGGGTAGTCTTAACACAGGGTACCCAGGTCCAGCAAACTACAACCCAAATTGCAGGGCAGACCATATATCACCAGTAGATCAACGCAGATGCCGACCCATGGATGCTAATAGTCAAAATATGCAACAGGATTATTTTCGGCTGCAGCAAGCAATAGCCCCCCTCGCAGCACAATTTGTCCAGGGAATAGTAAACACGCTGACAATGTCTCATATGAGGATTCCTCCGAACATAACATAGGCAACCAGGAGTTAGGGATAGTAACAAGAAAACCTACTAACTATCCCAACAACCCTGGTTTTCTGAAAATTATGCTTTTAAATGCTCGATCTCTCCTTAACAAAATAACTTCCCTTCGCAGCTTGGTATACATGGAGCGGCCAACACTGATTCTGGTAACTGAAACTTGGCTTACTATTGATATACCTGACACAAAGCTGATAATTAATAACTATAACATCCACAGGAATGACAGAGTAGACAAGAGAGGAGGCGGCTGTCTAATATATGCCTCTAAATCCACTAACTCCAATACCTTTACAAACCTAACTATCGACAAACTCCCAGAATCCAAGTGGATAAGCATCCACACGAATGAAAATAACATTCTTGTGGGATGTATATACAGAGCCCCTAACAGCCCTATAACGACTGATACGGTTATCGGAGAAATACTAGAGGTTGTACCTAAGCTGGAATTCGACTACAAACTAGTTTGTGGCGATTTCAACCTCCCTGGAGTGAACTGGGATACCTGCACTGGACCGAGAACCTACGAGGTGATCCTAGAAGCCATAGATGTAGGAGGATGGAAGCAGTGCGTACGCCTCCCAACACGACACAACAATATACTCGACTTAATCCTCTGTCACAAAATAGAGCCGATCTCGATAGAGGTGAGGGATAAACTCGACAACAGTGACCACAACATACTGTACTGCACCCTACCCTTACAACTAACAACTAAACACACACCTAAGAGTTCCCCGGTTTACTATCAATATAGGGACTATCGAAATGCCGACTGGGAATTCCTACCAACGCTCTTGAGAAGCTCAGACTGGGGTGAATACTTCACCAATAATAACTTAGAAGTAATACTAAATACCTTCTACAAGACAATCAGTTCGGTAAGAGACACAATCGCACCCCTGAAATCTGCCCTAAAGACACCAACTCTGTTCATAGATCGCAAAACGCGAATAAAACTAAGGAAACTAAAAAGGAGATTTTATTTATACAAAGAATTTAATGCATTACACCTGATACACGAAATATTTAAAAATTTAGATGAGAGACATAAAATGAAAGCACAAGTCGAGGAAAATAAAGCCCTAGAGGGCACCTCTAAAACCCAGGAACTCTGCAAAATCTTGCAAAAACGGCTGAAGAAGGGTGAAGAAAACAATATCAGTCATTTAGAACACGAAGATATAATTTATGATGATCCCCAGATCATTAGTGAACTCCTGAGTGAGTGGTTCTCCAATAACACCAAAGCACATCCGTCCCCAATTCTCGACATAACCTGCAAAAATAACTACAAGTTAGGTGAAATAAACTTTAATATACAAAATATAGCATCGGCGGTAAGGACATTAAAAGCTAACAGTAGTTGTGGGATAGACGATATACCATCCGTCATATACAAAAACGGTGGTACGGATATGATTGTATTATTACTTAGAATATTTAATATCTCACTAGTGACCGAAACCTACCCTGAAACTTGGAAAAACACATATATATTACCTAAGCATAAAGGAGGGGCCAAAACTAGTGCATGTAATTATAGGCCTATCAATATAACACCAGTCATATCAAGGATCATGGAGAAAGTAATCAAAGACCAAATGTCAGACTACTTTCTAAAACATAAACTCATCAACCTGTCACAACACGGATTCCTCAAGAAAAGATCTTGCGTCACTTGCCATATAGACTTTTTCAACGAAGTCACCTATAGAAGAGATAGGAGAGAGCTAGTGATTATCCTCTATTTCGATATAAGGAAAGCCTTCGACAGAGTCCCACATAGTCTGTTAGTCGGTAGGCTATGCTCACTAGGGATACGCAACCCCCTCTACAATTGGATAAAATCATTTCTGTATGACAGGAATCAGACAACTAAAGTTGGCTCAATGACCTCCAGACCTAGACCAATCAGCAGTGGTGTCATCCAGGGGAGTGTATTGGGACCCCTTCTTTTCATTATATACATAAACAGTATATGTGAATGTTTTAGTATAGGCAAGCCAATACTGTATGCAGATGACTTGAAGGTGACATATACCTGCACAAATACAGATATCGGCCCAACTATGAACTCCATACATGAAGAATTAGCAAAAATGGATAGATGGTGTGACACGTGGAGACTTGAGTTTAATGTTGAAAAGTGTGGATGGCTCTGCATAGGCTGTTCCAACCTTGACCTCAACCTAGCAATTCAGGGCCACAAAATCCCCAGACTCAAATCTGTACTAGACCTAGGACTGAAATATTCACACAATCTATCATTTTCAGAGCATATCTCGAATCAAGTGTCGAAATCACGAAGGCTTATTGGTTTCCTACTCAGGAACTTCTACAGAAACGAGTCCAGAATACTACTGTACAAGGTATGTGTGCGCCCACTCCTAGATTACTGCTCATTCATATTCAGCAGTACACGCATAGAAGACAAACTGAAAGTAGAAGGAGTACAGAGGTACTTCACGCGAAAAGTACTCGGAACCGATAACGGCACAAACTACTCTACCAGATGTGAAATCCTGGGACTAGAAACATTATGGTTAAGGCGACTGCGACTAAATCTGTTACTCTTCTATAAGCTTCTTAACCAAATAGTGTATACCCCTGCTAACTATACTCGGTCCTCAGGTAACACAGGATACAACCTTAGGCACACTAAAGGTACAGTGGCTATAGAACCATGTAAAACAGCCACCAGGCAAAAGTTTTTCTTGATTAGGTATGCCCAAATATGGAACAAACTACCTGAGAAAATACGACTAGCAAGCACATTGGCCTCCTTTGAAAAGGCACTTAATGACACACTAAGTGAGTTTGTAATTGATACCAATGGTAATTCCCATGTAAGAGTTTCAGAAATCATAGGCCCATTTAATGTATGAACTCAGAGACTACACCTGTTGTTTGTTTTGTCTCTATTTATAATTCCAGACAAAAAAGCAGCAGTCATGACAATAACACCCATTCAACCAAGAGTCGATCAAACTATGTCTACCTGATACAAAGGGCGAACCATAATCAACATACGAATGAAATATGAGAAAACAAGGTAGAAACTTACCGCAACACCACATGAAAAGATAAAAGTTACTTGGATATCATTTATAATCCACCAACTGGTCTCCTACCCAAAAAGAATGCGGCGATGTTTTATCCAAAAAGGCGAGGAAATACATAAACCCACAGCAGCTGTTGTTAACACTCAGTGGGGGTAGGAGCCAACAAAGTAATCCTTTCAAAGCATATGTATACTTCAAATGGGCACGGAGACTTTGTAGAATACGTCATAATCCAAATCACTGCCTCTACAGCGCCAATAAACCTGGATATCTATGATATAACGAAAACATGCTGAAAGCTGCATCTCAGATCAAGTTGACTCATTCCATGGTAATGATCTCCTCCTGCGTGCCTTATTCGACATATTGAATGGAATGGTTCGCAGTTATTCTGGTACTAGATCGAAAAGAATAAAAAATTCACCGGTTGCTGAATCAAAAGTACTTCTCTGCATGTTTAACTGTATTCTAACTGCTATGATTAATTCCAAACCATTTATCCCATAATCACTCAAATTCCGGGAACGATCCAATTCTACCATGGTGACTCTAAAGAATAGCGGCCCAAACCGAAACGGCCTTTTAACGCAGAAATGACCTTGACAGGGACAACTTCGGCCAATGAGAAGGCTCAAAAAGGAAGGCGCATAATTGTAAAAACGGTTTATATAAAAGTAGTGCAATCACAATAAACAGTTACAAAGGATGGCGTTCGCGTATATGTTCCAAAAAAGCTCCCAGTTTCTCATGGGAGTCCTCAAAGTTATATGAAACCAGATTCGGTACATAAATTCATCCAGGTAACTGTAAATCATGGGATTTCTCGATCCATTAACCGCTGTTATACGTCTTTTTAGATGACTCCTAAAACTTTCAATGGAGCTGGTGTGGGTTCCATCTAAAGGATTCCGGAAACCGTCCGTATGATTAACAACATGATGAATGTACCCATGATTCGATAATTGACGGTATCCGCTCCATTCATCTGTATGAATAGTCGTCCCCGGCAACACCAAACGCTTATTAATAGGCACTAATACTGCTGCACTGCGATTGGAAATCGCTTCTATATATACTTTGCGCAGTGTCGTGTCGTAGATACCTAGTATCCACTGCTGGTTTGCTTGTAATCTCCCGCGGTTGTATTTCCTTTTTATAAGTACACTCTCATCAATATGGACTATGCTGCCGACTCCTCCGAGAACTTGAGTCAGGGTGTTCATTTTCCAGGAGGAAACATCTCTGCAGTAGTTGTGCCATTGCACTGCTGACACCTCTGAATTTTCTGTTTCATAAGCTGTAGCTGTGACTGCTCTTTTCAGGACCCAGAGGTTACAGATCATTAAAATTTTCGTCAAAGGTAGTTTAGACCTTGAGAGAAAAGTTCCTAAGGGATCTGTAAACTAAAAAACAACGACAAACCTCGAACCGATTTCCTCTTTCGGCACTCAATACATCTGTATGCAAAGCCATCAATGGCCTCTGTGTATTTTTGTATATGCATAACTCCTCCGCATTGGCAAATTTTCGACAAAGCTATCAGTCCGTTATCCATACAGTAATCGAAAACATCCATGATTATTTCCGCAAATGATACAGTCAGCTGATTCCTTGCGCAAGGTCACTTTTCTGTTCGAAGGTCGTTTCGATTTGGGTCGCTATTCTTTAGAGTTACCTCTACCATTTAAAGAAGCTAGCGGACACGATGTAAATGAGTATTCATGATCTGAAATAAAGAAGCAACTGGCTTTCAACATTTTATTCAAATTACGAGTACAGTCCGCCATGCAGACACAAATGGCGCAAATAGGGAATTCTGGAATCGACCTCGGGACCATTTGATGCAGTAAAACAACTTAACATGACCTTATCTAATTTTCGCCTCCACGATCAAATTTCTTTCCTGTTGTGAAACTACGATAAGACTGCTGAAAAATGGAATAAATATATCACTTATCTCAACATAATACATCAATAATCTTTAAGCCAAGGGTGCTGTTCACAACAAAGTTATATAAGAGAATTGACTTCAAGCTTTATTTTTCCCAGATATCTGTATTACATTCATCTGATGTCTGGGTTTTTTTTAATGCGAAGACAATATTTCTATATCTCTTTATGTGCTACACAAGCAGACTTTATAGCAGACTGTTCCGTCTGACTCTAATGTCAGAAAGAACAACCAAACTGTAAGTCCATTATACATCAAATTATGTGTAATTTATATAATAACTTATCCATGCCTGTACAATAGGTATGTTCCTGCATACACAGGAAGGAATATATTATTATTATTAAAACAATATTTATGCATGCCTGTACAATTGGTGTACCCTACATAGCTAGGAAAAAAAATGTACTTTATTATATTATCTTTACTAAATATGCTTATTAATATTGTGTAAATTATCGAATTGATGATGCCTGTAAACTGGCGTTCCTCATGTAAAAAATGAGAATATATATTATTATTATAGATCATTTCATTACGGAAATCAGGACGTATTTATATATATTTCATGTACATTATCATAGCTTATTCAAGTAGACAAACGCATCCTTCTGATTGGTTCTTTTCGAGATTTCTCGGAAAGTGCAGCCATCTATCTGCGAATCATATTTGCCCACGTTTAAGTCCGCTGTGATTGGTTGTTGAATCAGCCTTGTTCATATTTTCTCAAAGCCAATATCAGTGACCTAGACATTGACGTAGATTAATGTCTACCAATTGACTAGCAGCCTGCTCTCACCACATCTCTAGCTTCTTGACACATATAAAATCACTCGCAGAGGGAATAAAATTCACATTTGAATCAGAAAATGGACAAGGAGAATTAGCTATGTTAGATTGTAAGATAAAACGAATAGAAGAAGGTAAGCTGCACACTAGTGTTTATAACAAGCTAACGCATTCTAATAGATATTTAGACTTTAATTCATCTCATTCGCTAACTGTTAAGGCAAGCTTAGTGAAGTGTCTAACAAACCGAGCCATAGCACTAAGTAGCACAAGAAAAGACCTAAATGATGAAATAAAACAGACAGAAGAAGCGTTGGTGTTGAATAACTAGCCTGTAAAATTCATTAGGAAGATCAGAAAAGGCCAAAAGCAAAACAAAAATAATTGTGAAACTAGTAATGATAACATAAATAAGAGAGAATATAAGTCGTCTATTGTTATACCATATAAGGAGGGGACATGTGAGACCCTACGTAGGATTCTTAATAAAACAGGAATTAGAGCGGCATTTAAACCTACAAACTCACTCAGGGAACGAGCTCTATAGGTTAAAGGACGCGGTGGACCCAATTGGACAAAACAATATAATTTACAAAATACCCTGCAATGACTGTGACGTCAACTTCATAGGTCAAACTAGTACGTCGGGGATAGTCAGATTATCAGAACATAAGAATTTAGCTAAGGGAAGAATGGTTGGCCCTGGAAAGATAAGTAATTTAGAAAAAGGCTCAGCTATTGCACTTCACGCATCAACAAACAACCACACAATAGGGTGGGATAGGGTCAAGATTCTAAAAAGTAATATACGTAGGTGGAGAGGGAGGTTGATTGCGGAATCCTTATTCATCGAGTCTACTACACTTAACACATGCAACAGAAATGACTCAATGCAAATACCAGAAATATGGAAGATATTATTACCACAGGTCAAATCAGAAGAGGATAATAAATAATCTTAAAATTCTATTTCAATTCAAACACATCACAACATTCTAACATGTAACTTATTATGACTATAAAACACTCGTATTTCCCATATAATTGTAATGGGTCAATAACACTCGTACTATTATTTCTGAATGCACATTGTCTCACAATGATTTTTAATCCAATATCTAATCGATTCCACACATGTATATAAGTGAAAGAAAAAAGTTGTGTAAATTCAGATGATTATGAGTAATAGTTTGTGCTCAAAACGTCATCAGTTAATATAACTGTACAACACTGTGTGGTATATCAAAATGAAATCGTATCCATAATTGAGTTATAATTTAATAATAATAATATATATTCTCATATAAACATAAATTTACATGAAAATGCATGCCATTTTTACAGGCACGATCAAGTATGATATAATATCAAATCGTAGATTGTCTACAAGTTAATAATGTTTCAACAGTTAAATATTTGATATATATAAAATACACATTGTCTGAACTAGGCTGTATAGTTATTGAATTGTACAATTGTCCTCCAGGTTGAGCGGGAAAATCGACTTCGTTTCGTTTTCATCCCGTGGTTGTCGGCATACGATAACCAACCAATATTGAGGTAGGTACAACGTTTACAACGGATTGAAAGCTGTTTTAGAAAATTAAAAGTGCTAAGGTGAATCAATAAAGTGTAATGAAATGGGTAAGTGCAAGTATCACTAATGAATGCATTAATATAGAAAACTCCCTAGGCTGACAACGTTCATTTGCAATGTATAATGCTTCCTGTACGGTTTGCACTATCATGATGTCCACTTTTGGTTTTAATACATTTTTTCCTTATGCCGGTCTTTTTTATTTTATGCCTTTTTGTGCATTTGGTGCACAACCGTACCCTCCAGAGAATAGGAATAGAATAAGTCGAATCAAATTCATAAAAAGCTATAAAATGTTAGGTTTGATGGGATACAATGAGGATTAAGTAAAGACGTTATTAGAAAATGAATGAGATAAGACATTGTGAAGTGGTATTTAAAGATCCGACATTGGACAGCAAGTTGATTTATAAGATGCCCAATAGATCTGTGCAGAGCCCACATGGTCGCATCTCAACAATAGGCTGAGCGAGTGGTATATATTTAAAGGTAGAAGCATGATCTGTCAAGGCGTTCATTATTATCTTTTTCAAGATAAAGATCTAAGCCCTCATAAAAATAAGAAATATCTCGAGCCTTTATTATGTATATTGCTGTTCCTGCAGAATGGGGCGATTCACCTTAGTGACCGCCACCATATCTACTGATCAGCTAACGCCACCCTCCCTCCTTTTTTGATGTTAAGCTCTGAGACTATGATTATTATGGCTACCGCAAATATACTGCTTGGTACCAGACATGTTCGTACCCCATATTCCATCTCCCTAGCTTTCTTAATGAGTGCTTCCAATAGGTCTCCACATACATCTTTATGAACATTATATATGTATGCATGCGTCCTAATGAACGGATTACTTTACAAGAAGTTAAAACCTTAAAGAGTAAAAAGAATAGGTTTTGTGAATAGTGAAGCAAGATTCAGCAGAACAATATAGTTAGGGATCAATGTAGGTAGTATGAACTGAAGGTAAGGTCGGTTGGCAGGACTTAGTGTACTAAATTATCATGACAGTCTTGTATATAGTAGACATCTGACATTGCAAAGTAACGTGTCTAAACATATTATAAAAGATATTAACAGAAATACTACATAGCTTTAACATTATGAATTTTAGAAAATTATATGAGAATGGGTAACTGTTGACTGAAGATAATCAATTCAACTCAAAAATAGTGCAGTGTATTATGCTAATAATATAAGTATATTCGTAAAATATTAAAAGATATGGTTGCTAATGTAATGGTTTTCGGAAATAATTATACTGACGAACTTATTGAAGATTACAGTGAAGAGGAAACCAGTGAGTTAGTTAAATGGCAACTGTGCAGTTAGTAGTTAAAACGTCTTTTTTAAAAAGTAAAGGGTAGAAGAGTTTTGAGCACCGGAGCAAATTAAGTCATATTCTACTGAGTAGAGTGTAGTGAATAGTGGTACGATTAGGGATAAGGGTAGGTTGAATGAACTTGGGGAAAATGGTTGGTTGGTTGAGTTTGTTATTGCTAGGTATTCCTGGCCGCTTTTCATATGGCATGCTTTAGACATTACAAAGTACCAGTTTGCTTATATTATGGGAGAACTATCACAACTAATTTGGGATTATACATCCAGGAGAGTCTAATGAGTTTATAAACCCGATTGAAGAAATATCGATAGGATCTCTAGTAAGCTGAATAACCGGACCTTAGGTAAAGGCATGTGGGAGAGATTAGGTTGGTCTTATCACGTTATAGATGAGGTACGGTTGCCGGGGCAAATGAGTTTCCTCAAATTGGGGGTATTGCACTGGGGTCTGTAGTACTAAAGCTAGTTGAGCGGCCCATATGGATAAAGTATGGATAAGTAGACCGAAGCTCTTTTGTTGATAGGAACTCGTTAAGTAGACGCTGGAATTCAGTAGGAGATCGGCAACTACGTACAGTAAGTGGAAGTTCGTTCCATAATGCACTGTACTGTATTTTAAAGAAACGTGATCGTAGTTTTGTCCGGAACCGGCTTATGGATAGAGTATTTTCATGATTCCTAAGAGTATATATGGGTAAATTATTGAAAGCTATTGGATTACTGCTTTTGGTGTAGCCGTGTAAAAGGCGAAAGAGGAATGTAAGGTTGAGTTTCAGGCGCCTTAACCAAAGTGGCTGAAGTCCATACATTTTGCACCTATCAGCGTAAGTCAGTCCTTCATGTTTGTATAATA